TGCATGCACAAGTCAAATGGCAACAGAAAAAATGAGGTCAACTTGTGGTTTTGGGTATTTACACTCCAAGAACACCAAAGCAATACAAGATTACTCAATCAGAATGAGCTTAAGGAGGTAGAACAGTAAGTATACACTTAATCCTAGAGTAATTCGTTTGATGTCATTTAGTCAATATGATTAAAGTATTTTTTTTAAACAGCATAAAGACTTCTGTGTTTAATCCAGTGTACTGGATGAAAACTGTTTACTGTCATCAGTCTGAATTCAAATGTAAGTAGTAACATTTCATATAAATTAAACAGTTGTAAACATTGGTGTATATTAAGAACTGTGGAATTAAATGTGCTTGTCCAAGTATTCAGCAGTGAAGGCTACATGTTTTATTTCAGCCAGAGATTGCATATGCTTTCATTTGTAGTGGAAATGTACACTGAACACGCCATTTCCCAATACAACCATAAGGATAAACCTATGGATCTTGCATACATAAATAATATCTATGAAAAATTCATTTAGTCCCTGATTTGATGCATATTAACATGTGGTTCCACCTTGTGTAGACTAATTGTCAGTGTATAAAATCAAGAAGTGCCTTTAAGCAAGCCAAACACTTAATGTTGATATTAAATAAAGGAAGGAGCAGTTTCTCACAGGAAGTGGCCAGAGAGAGAGATGTTTTTCTTAAGCAATAAGGGGATCAGTACTTCTAAGCCTGTTGGTCTAAATCTTCTGATAGGTTTAGTAGAGAACTGCCACACCATAATTGATAAGCAAATGTTAGCACAGTCCCAGGTGGCCATGATGGCACCTTTTACTGTTACTGTGCCAGTGAAAGTAGGACAGTTGACTTTTTACAAAACAGTTGAACAGGTTCAGCACAGCAGCAGCTGGTGTGGGCTAAACTGTGGTTCCCTTTTTGTTGCTCTGACATTCAATAAGCAAGTTTCAAATGCAGCTGGTGTGGGCTAAACTGTGGTTTCCTTTTTGTTGCTCTGACATTCAATAAGCAAGTTTCAAATTTAAGAAATTCTGACTGTCAGCCTCAACCACATCTACTGTACTAAACTGCTAAAAAAAAATTAAGAGAACACTTAATTATCACAATATGACCACAACACCAAATGTCTGGGATATCAAGCTGTCTATTCAGGAAGCACAAGTGATTGTCAATCAGTTTCACCTACATTGGTGCAAATGAAAGTGATAACATGTGCAACTGAGAGGCAAAAGCAAGACAACCCCCCAAAAAGGGAATGCATGTTTTGCATATGGTGGCCACAGACAAATGGTCTCTCCTTGTCTCCCCAGGTTTTGTGTTTTGCTAGGGTCCTTATCACTGCTGCTCAATAAAATTTGGTGTGTGTGCATATACATATATATATATAT